ATTATTAAACAAGACGTGTTATAGCGGCGGTAAAAGGTGAAGGTGGAAGTAATCGTTGGGTTATGAGCTCGCAATCTTAAGCGAGAGAAAGTGGTCCCTGGATCATCTAAGAGCTGGGGGAGATTGGTGAGGAAATGACGGTTCATGCGGAACTAACAATTTAGTCTTGTCTAGTCATCCCTTTTCGGTTGGTGTGAATATCATTTCACCAATATAGAAAATCACTCATCTTTGGTCGATGCAAAGAAAAGGTTGTCATAAATGGGTTTGGTAAATTAAATTTGAGGAAAGAATGTCGGTAATGCGCTGACCCGAATACCTGTCAGTAAAGAGCAGTCAGTTGATCAGAACCAATCTTACTATATTCCTGATGTTTGCTGCAAGACCCAGTGAAACTAGCATCGCTAATTTGGTGGACGTGGTGACACTAAGCAAAGATAATTATGGTCCCCAAATGACTAAACCAACGTAACGTTCTACCATAGAGCTATGTTGATGAATGACCGGATTGGCGAAGAGATATTTGGCCTTGGGACGCGAGCATTATAGTGAAGTTCGAGTCCTCTTATCAAATGTCCATTCTACCGAAGATTTCTTTTTCTTAGTTTGTATTCACTATCCATGTGGTTTAAAGGGGAGTGTGGAAACTATCTAGGCTAGGTGGTTGTAGCTGTCCGTAACCATTTTTTACCAGGTCCCTGAAAACCACATAGCATGGCGCTAGCTGTACGTATCGAACACTATTAATCACCATAACTCGCTTTTATTCATAACTGGGAAACATTTTGATCCTACATATCGATCCGTCGTATGGAATGGAGTACCAGAGACTGCAACTTCACGTGGTGTGATGGCTTGTGCATCTCTACCACCTAACGAGCTACACAGGCTGGCTTTTATCAAGCCAGGCGATCTTATCATGCCTGGAAGGTCAGAGAGTAGAGGTCAGATAAAGTTCAGTCTTCTGGTCCTCCGGGTTGGGGGTTTGACACGAGTTAGCGCCTCAGCCGTTAAAGTGGTAGGAGATTAATCGATCCAAGTAAATGGGCTTCTACTTCGCTTTACCCGCTGACTTGCGATTAGGTTAATGCTTGAAATGAAGGAGGCACACGTTACCCGCCGGTACCCCATGCCGGTTGACCTATCTGGGACTTCTTTGGAGTGGGCATAATTCCTAAATGATTCCTAAAATCGAGAACCCTAGTCGTTCTCCTGCGTAGTTGCTGGACTCTTCAGTAACTGACCATCAAACTCTAATGCATACACAAACTAAATAATTTCAAACTGCATCGGTCGTCGCACTGGATATTCGGGACCGCCCTGCTCGTTGCATATTCACTAAACGGAAATAAAACGTGAAGGCGGAGGTAAATAACCTCGGTCTTTGGTCGATTTTCGGAGTGCGTGAGTGGGGCAACAATTTGAATCTGCGGTACACACGTTACAGGTCGCAACTCAGGAACAACCTGCGTCGGAGGCATCCAAAAGGATCAAATCAGTCTCACACAGGATATAGCAGTATAAGAATAAAGGTAATCAAATATTCAGTATGTGGATGGTATTTGGTACTGCTGGGTGACAATCTAGGCTAGACACCAGCCTCTCCCACTAGTCTAAGTGGCAGTGTGATAAATCCACATAACTGGTACCAGACTGAAGAGGTTTGTTTATTGGAAGAAGGATATGATAAGGGTGAAGCGGAGCATGCAGAACAAAAGATGCCTTAGTTGGTTAGTGGTTCCATGAATGGTTCTTGATTAGTGGTCAAGTAGTTCAACGGTTTCTTCGTCCCTTTCATTGTTACAATAGTAAATGCTTTAATCCGCTCCCAAATATCTTGTTAATTTTTGAATACCGTGAGAGTCGACCAACCACCTCATTATCATGTGCCAAAATACTGGTAACTAATATGTATAGTATCTCATGCCACTGATCGTTTATTTGGTGGATTTAGGGATTTTCGTTCATCGTTGGGGATCACAAAATTGGGTAGAGTTCACGCGTTTAAAGGCGGCGGAAATACTGATAAGGCCATCAAGAGTGCCTCTGAACAATCGAATGAGATAATCCAAACTTGATACTTTAAATTGTTTGAGCCATTCGCACAAGGTAATGACCGTCGACCGTGTAGCTCAGGGAAGTCCCGACCAGAGTGTTCGCGGTCTCAGTCCTGATTGGGCCACAAAGAGTACGCACTGCCAACGAATCTCAAACAGGACAGCGCTCTTTGTCGGTCATCGCAAGTATTTCCATCGCGTTTCGATGCATTCAACAAACGATCTCCCAGGGAATGGAACCCACACTCAAGACTATACCTTGGAACAGTCGAATGAGTTAATCTAAATTTTGTACTTTAAAGAGTTCACGTATATCTGCTGCGTAACTTCTTTTGGCTGACCTACAAAGCCCTCCGAACCGTCCAGATGGGTAGTGTTATGACCACCGTCTTTGTTCTTCAGTTTCCCATGGCATGCATACTTCCCTTCATATGTTACCCTTGGCTTTTCGTCCACCTCTGAACTCTTCTTCACTGGTTGGTGTGTTAGGTAGGAGCATAAAATATTAATCATAATAGGAATGGGGAAAGGCGAAGTCAATGTTGGATGTAGTGGAACAGTAAAAAGTCGGTATAATGAAAAAATTGAAGCCTACTCACTTCGGCCCGGCAATTTCGAAGTAGTCATTCGTACAAATAGTATTGGTGCAGATTTCAGACTTTACGGTCGACCATGAAATCATTGTTTGGTTTTTATGGTTGAATACTGATGCTGATGCAATACAGTACAATACAATACAATTCGCTCGTTTACCTGAGTGTCGTCTGTTAGATAACTGTTTCAGGGTTCATAGTCTTACTACTCATGAGTAGTGTATATTATCTACAATTAATGGAAGTGTGTGAGCGTCAGTCTTTGCGTTCAGCGCGCTGAGTAGCAACTTACAAGTATGAGAAAAAAGAACCTAAAGGAGTGCAAATGGTTTATTCCCCGAAAGAAATGCACAGGCTATAAGAGGGTCATACGTGGGTTGGCCCCCACTTTTCGTAAGCGGATGAACCCTTATTAAAAGAAAGTGAATAAGTGTACCTGCGTCTACGCACTCAAACGTTTGCCTTGAACAACTTCGGTGAATCGCATAGACTAGTGAGCACGCATGCATCACTTTAAAGGAAAGTGTCTAAATGAGTTATTCTTTTGGCCTGCAAGTGTACAGAAACCGCCAGTTCTATAGACGCTGAACAACTAAATGTTGCATCTAGTCACTCTTCGTCTGAAAATCCCAGTTGCATGGACTCAAGTTTTCCGGACATCCCATTATCTCCGGTAAGATGTACAGACACAGGTTTTCAGTAACGCTGTTACGGAAAATATAAGCACGATGAAGAGCGATTGTCTCACATTTTTGCACTTAGCCAATCTTTCACTGGAACTCCGAAACGCTCCAGGGTGCTTACACCCGATGAGAATTACGCGCATCCCCAACAGAACAACATAGGCTCAAATCGCTTTAACTTCCCTGTGGTTTGGCATGGATAAAGCGATCGGTTCTTAATCATCCTAATTTGTCATTCACAATCCTTCATGATGTTTATCAGTTTGCATACAAGAATGACCACTCCTCACTGGATGTTGTTTTTCCATGGTTCACTTTGTTTACAAGTCTCCAAACAATAAAGCTGCATATGTGCACTGTACACTCTGATTATTCTTCATTTTTTCACCCTTTCCGCTTTTCCTTTTACTTGACGAGCTGCAGTCCCCTTCCTCTTCATGGATGGCTTGGAAGCTACTTTTTGCAAAAATATCAGTTTGTTAAATCGGGAAGAAGACAGTAAACAGTGTCACTCAATAGGTGGGATGTAATTCAAGGTGCTGTCTTATCACTCCATGCTTATACGACTAGCATCAGTGAACTACCTGTCACTTCCGTTGTACGGTATTTTAACTATACCGATGCCATAGTCATTTCTGTTTCCATATATAATCAAGCAGAACTGGTCGCGCACTACACAAACCCTCAGTATGATCGCGAATGAATGTCTCGGGCTGTCGGTGGTCGCCAATCCTCTGCACCTCGCGAAATGCTCCTACACGACCAAGCC